ATTATTTCTTTATATTTTCCTTCCAAGAAGCCAGTCTTTGTTTTGCTTTGTTTAAAGTGGGTTTGAACAAGGCTGCTTTCTCACTTTAGTCTGTTGATATCTGGAGTTCGTATCTTTAGGCAGTTTTTTATTAGCAGCCTGGGTTTTTTTTTTTGGTTTTTTTTTTAAACGAATCTATGATAAATAATTAAATCACATTTTTGCACCAACGTTGTGATTCCCAAAGAGTTCCTAAAACTTGGGAAATCTCGGCATGGTGTGGAGTGTGTCCTGCGGGGCCTGGAAAAATGGAGGGTAAAAGAAGTGGGAATATCCAGGTCCTGGGAAAACCATGTGGCCCTTCAGTTGACCCATCTTTTATTCACTGAAACCTCATCAGAAATGATCACAGCGGAAGGGTGGCTGTCAATTCAGATCAGTTTTATTTATACAGCATCAAATCACAACAACAGTCGCCTCAAGGTTCTTTATATTGTAAGGTAGACCCTTCAATAAGACACGCAGAGCAAAACCCAACAATCATATGACCCCCTATGAGCAGCACTTTGGCAACAGTGGGAAGGAAAAACTCCCTTTTAACAGGAAGAAACCTCCGGCAGAACCAGGCTCAGGGTTAGACAGGATAAAAGACACGCTGTGGAAGAGAGCCAGTGATTGATAAGAAGTAAAGATTCAATGCAGAGGTCTGTTAACACAGAGTGAGTGAGAAATGTGACTGAAAAAGAAATACTCAGTGCAATAGGTATAGGCCCAGCAGCCTATACCTATTGCAGCATAAGGTCATCTGATCTAAACCTAACTATATACTTTAGCAAAAAGGAAAGTTTTAAGCCTGATTTTAAAAGTAGAGATAGTGTCTGTCTTCCAAACCCAAGCTGGAAGCCGGTTCCACAGAAGAGGCTGAAGGCACTGCCTCCAGCTTTCTTCTTTTAAATACTCTAGGAACAACGAGTAAGCCCGCAGTCCAAGAGTGAAGTAGTGTAATGGGGTGATACGGTATTATAAGGTCATTAAGATAAGATGGGGGCTGATTGTTCAGGACCTTGTATGCGAGTATGTTGAATACAATTCTGGATTAGGAAGCTATTCAAGAAGCTATTCTTAAGGAAGGGAAACAGGGAGAAGGTATACAGAATTGGAAAAGAACTTGGCTGAACAGTGGTTTTCAGCCAGTGGTGTTGGAGATCAAAATTGATGGAATTATGGATGCAGAAAAGTACCATCAGATTTTAATCCACCTTGCGATAATATCTGGTTGCATCTGATTGGCAGCAGCTTCATTCTTTACCCTGATAATGATCCCAAACACACTGTCAGGGCAGTAGAAGCTAACACACAAAGGAGCATCAGTCATGTTACAATAACTCTGTGTGCCTATTTCCCATTTTCCTAGCAAAATGTAAGAGTGGAGAGTGGCTCAAGATTTTTGCACAGCACTGTATTATCTTTGTGCTAATCCATACACTGTGTTTACACTGCACATTACTGCCAAACACCTACCTGCTGCCATGCTGTGGAGTTATATTTCTGGAATCGCCCATAAGGGGATAGATGTACACCATTACACACACTGAAGGTTTAACTCGGTAAAATAAATCAGGCATTACTCTGACACCCAGGTTGACAATAAAAAGCAGGCAAACGTCAGTGGGACACAGAATGTCAAGGAGAGAAGAAGAGAAAAAGATTCACATGGGAAATATAACTCGTCCGGGCCATCAGTCATATAAACTAGACCGCTGCTCTGTCTGAAGGACAAAATTGGGGCTTATTCTGCCTGTGCGTGTTTGTGTTTGTGTGTGTTTGTGTTTTAAGGCCGTGGGTCTAATCACTTCAGGGATTTCTGTGTGTACAGGAGTTGCTTGAAAAGGTTTGCTCTTATTGACTATCCCCGTCCAGCTGTTCACTCTCTTCCGGCAAAGTCTCTCTTGTTTGACACCGTCACACCCATGAGGTTCAGCTTGACATTTCCATGGCGACAGTTTACAGCCCACATTATCACTGTGGGGTTTTTCTCCAGTTTATTCTCATTATCTATTCTAGACAAACCAGTATGTAAAACACATCAGTCGTTATGGTCTACACCAGAGGAGTTTTTCCGGCAGTATCGGAGAAGCCGCGATGAAGAGAAAGTTTATGCTTTCATGAGGAAACCAAAGGGTCAGCCACCATTGTGTGATTCATCAGTGAATACAAGCAAGTACTATTTATAGGAAAATGTCACTCATTGGGAGACTGAGAGAGGAAGCGGGCAAGGTAACTTTATTTATATTCATGTTTTGTGGCTGACAGCTCGACGGCCTTCAATAACCGTGCCATTTAGACAATCATCATGTTTTCCTCAGATAGAGGAAGGGGAATTAGGAAAGTCGAGATGCTTTCTACATTCGTTGCTGACAGTCAGTTGGAGTTGCCCGGGATTTATGGGTTGCAGTCGCAGAGACAGAAGTGCTTGTGGTATTAAAACACACAGCTGTGTTGGGCTAATAAGGAGGCAGGCTTTGTTACTTATGTAGCAGAATCATTTGCTTTGTGGCTTTATGGTTAACAGTGTTTGTCTCTTGCC